CTACCTGCTACCTTCATTCCTTGCTCTTATTTGAATAATCTGAACAGAACCTCTGGGGGCAATATGGAGCTTATCAATCATTTCTTTAGTTATTTCTGATTAGAACTGGGTGGTCAGTTTTCAGCGAAGGCCACTTAAGAATATTCAACTGCAGGGCTCTCCTATGCCATTAAGTTACTTACTAGCACTTCTTGATAATAAGAATTATGAATATTCAGGATAACTTGGTCTCCTCATTGCTATTCTTGGAACAGTTTCTTTGATTTGGTCTGAGAAACGGAAGTGTTCTAGTGAAGGTACTGTTGGGTTTACTCACCCAAACCTAAGTGCCTTAGAATCTCCCAAGGCAGTAAATGGTAGGAAACTGTCAAGAACATTTCTCTGCCCTCCACCACTTGGCAGCTGACAACACATGCAGGCCTGACTCATCCCCAGCACTGGTCTTACTGCCCATGGGAGTAACGCTCTTTAATTTTTACACCTGGATATCAGTGATTCGTGTAAAGACAAGCAGTGAATAAAATAACTAACTACAAGCTAAAGAAAAAAGAGGAAGAAGAAATAGCTGAAGGATAAGGGTTTCTTTGTGGATAAAGAAAATGTTCTAAAACTGAATGTGGAGATGAATGTACAACTTTGTGAATATACAATAAGTCAATGACATGTATACTCACTTGTTGGATTGTATAGTATATCATAATAAAACTGGCTAAAGAAAGTAATGCATTTGGCTCATTCCATGAGTTATGACTACTTTATGTTTTGAAGTGGGGTCTTGCTGTGTTGCCCAGGTTGGCTCCAAGTTCCTCAGCTTCAGAGAGCCTCCTGCCTCAGCCTCCCATGCAGCTGGGACAACAGGTGCCTGTCACTGCCCCCAGCTCAGCACATTCTTCTAACTTTGCATAGGTGAACATCTTCAATCTCTTGTCTTCTTGTTGGTGACACAGTTTTGGAATGTTCCCAAGGCAGGGGATGACTATTTTAGTGTCACTGGAGTCACATTCTCTTACTATATGAGCAGAAAAGGGAGCTGCTACACACCTAGAAAAATGTGTCACGGTAACAACAGAGTATAATTATGATCAATTCCTTTTCAAACATCACATTATTACAAATTGATAATTAAAATCATTAATGGATCTGTAAAGATGGAGAACCAGAGATTGCTGGTCATACCTGGTTATTTCCATGTGTGCTGATCCCAGTCACAGAGAGAAAAGACTACAAGACTACAAGACTACAGGACTGCAGAGAACTGCACTGAAGGTAAGAGGAAGGGCATGGCGCTTTGAAAACATGCTTCAGGGCTGGCCAAAGTGCTCAGCAGATTAAAGCACCTGCAAGCAGGCACAGGGCCTGAGGATTCAATCCCGGGTCCTGCTGTGCTGGCCCTGCTCCTGGGGGCACAATGAGATGGCAATTGAGACTGGGGTGGTGGCGCACGCCTGTAATCCTAGCTCTTGGGAGGCTGTAAACAGGTGGAGCACTATGAGTCTGATCTAGTAGTGAGATCCTGAACAGCCTGTAGACCCTTCCCTAAAATACAAAAAAAAGAAAAAAAAAAAAAGAAAAAGAAAAAGAAATCATGCTTCAAAGATGTAATACCTTGCCAGGTGTGCTGCATACCCTTATAATCCTAGCACTCTGGGAGGCTGAAGCAGGAGGATCACAAGTTAAAACAGAGCCTGGGAAACATAGTGACTTAGCAAGACTCTGTCTTAAAATGCAAAGGGCAGGGTGGACTGAGAATGTCGCTTCAGGCTTCAACCCTTAGCTCTGAAGCAGAAAAAAAAACAAAGATTTAAAATTTAAAGCCTTGTTAATTTACAAATATAAACCTGGTTAATACATAAAATCAGCATTCTATGGCTTGTGTAAGTTCTATTTTTATAATCAATTATGATACACTTTATATTAAATCTGGTTAATAAACTGCCTTTTAAAATTTTGTTATGAGTCACGGCCAATGCTTGGCCAATGTGCTCTCTGTGAAAGCCTGAGAGAGTGTCTTCTCCCCATGTGACTCTCCTTAGGCACACTCTACGTCATCGATCACTTTCCTCTTTGGCC